CTTCTTTTGAGTTGGTGGCCAGGGTGACCAAAGGGACTCCCAGATAGTAACCCAGCATAGAACTGGGAAAATAAACAGCAGACCCCAATCTTATCTAAAGGAATATTGGCAACTTATTGCTGCTAGATGAAGAACAGCTGACCTTCCTAAAACAAAGACCTCTAGATAGGCTGACTGGATTCACCAGAAGCACAAGTAGTGGGGAACGGCTGGGGTGCCAACCACACAGCAGACAGTAGCAGGGATATCAGAGTATAAGGGCTGTAGTGGGGGGAGGGAGGCTATGGGAGGGTGCCGTCTGGGAAGTGGATGTATAGTTGAATAAGATGGTTTGGGATGTTCTACGTGATATATACACACAAAAATATCAACAAAATTTTAAAAACGTATTGTATTTGAGGAGGAAGCATGGAAATTTATATCATGTTAATTAGTAGAGGTGATTAACATTACCACTGAAGTCTACCTGATGACTTTATAGACATACACAGGCGCCAAGGATCCAAGTGCAACCGATTATGACTAGTAATAATCAGATACATACAGATTAGAGATGCATGCACCAACATCTCAGTGTTAGTAGCAAAAACAATGAGTCTTTCTGCAAGGAACAGTATATTCTAAAATGAAATGGAGATCTTTTTTAAAGGTTAAAAACTCAATTTTATGTCTTACAGGGCTTATATTGAGTTCAATATTGTATAACTATTAATTCAACTCTGAACCTAGAAACTAACAGTCACTTATGAAAGAGATGTACTCTTGCTCTGGAGTGTGTTACTGAATATGTTAAAGCTGTAATGAAATGCTTCTTCTAATCATGTAGTTATTAAAAATTTAAAAGAAAGATCTCTATTTCATTTTAAAATATACTGTTTCATACAGAAAAACTCATTTTTAATGTATCTCTAATCTCTGTGTATCTGATTATTACTAGTCACAGTTGGTTACTTTCTGAGGTCCATGTGAGCATGGATATAAAATCATCGGGTAGCTTTCAATGGTAATGTGTTTCACCTCTACTAATTAATATGGAGCAAATTTTTATGCTTCTTCCTCAAATATAACTTTTTTTTAATTTGTTGATTTTTGTGTGTGTGTGTGTATTTCATACAGAACATTCCAAACAGTCTTATTCATCTATATACCCACATCCCAAATGGCGCCCTCCCAGTCTTCCCCCCGCCCACCCCCACTGTGAGCCCATATACTCTGTAGTCCCTGTTACTATCCACTGTGTTGTTGGTGCCCCCAGCCGTTCTCCAGTGCTTGTCCGTCCACTGAATCTAGTCAGCCTATCTGGAGTTCCTTGTTTTAGGAAGATCAGCTCTTCCTCATCTAGCAGAAATCAGTTGCCAATATTCTTTAGATAAGATTGGGGTCTGCTGTTCATTTTCCCAGTTCTGTACTGGATTACTGTCAGGAGTCTCTCGGGCCACCCTGGCCAACAACTCGAAGGTGTCTCCTGTCTGGCATTGTTTCTTGTTATGTAGCGTTTAGCTATACACATGGACTCTTTAAGAGTTATATTGATCGCTTTAATCTTTGGTTATACTTTCCTTTGGGTGTTTAAGACCATACAGTTGGCCCAGATAAACCAATTTATCTTTACTCTTAAGGTCATTTGAGGATCTGTTCCTCAGGGGTCTCACGGGCTTGGGAGGAGCCCCTGGCTTCTGTCTTTTACCAGTTCCGCCTATGTGAAGATAAGTCAAAGGTCCTGCTCGACCATGTCTGGTACTTTTATTACCATGTGCTCTGTAGATAAGGCCAGGCACAGTGGCTCACCTTTAGTCCCAGCTCTCGAGAGGCAGTGTCAGGTAACTCTCTGTGAGTTCAAGGCCAGCAAGGGCTACACGGAGACCCTGTCTTGAAAAATGACAAAAATTAAAAAAGAAAAAGAAAAAAGACAAAGATATATTACAAATTTTGCTATAATATTTACCACAAAATTTGAGATTTGGGGGCGGGCCTTAATGGTGCACATCTGTAGCCCTAGCACATGGGATGTAGAGACAGGAAGATCAGAAGTTCAGAGTCATTCTTGGCTGCTGAGTGAGTTTGAAACCAGTCTGGGCCACATGAGGTCCTGAGGGAAGGGGTATTAGCTAGGACAGGCCTTGTGTGCTTGATTATACTGTTTTCATAAATGTGTTTCCTTAGCAAAGACCATGGACAGATTATTTAATCTCCCTAATTGTAATCTTTAAAATAGAGACAATAATTATTAACCTTGTGTTAATATTT